TGCCTGGGGTTATTCCTCCCCAGGTGCAGGACCCTGCACTTGTCCTTATTGAACCTCACCTCTCCACCCAACTCTCCAGCCTGTCCAGGTCCCTCTGGATGGCAGCACAGCCCTCCGGAGTGTCGGCCACTCCACCCAGCTTGGTGTCATCCGCAAACTTGCTCAGGGTGCACTCCGTGCCCTCGTCCAGGTCATTGATAAACAAGTTGAACAGCACTGGGCCCAGCACTGATCCCTGGGGGACACCACTGGCCACAGGCCTCCARCTGGACTCAGCCCCATTTATGACCACCCTCTGAGCTCTGCCATCCRGCCAGCCCTCGATCCACCGCACCGTGCACTCGTCTAGTCCACTGTCCCGGAGCTTCCGTATGAGGATGTTATGGGAGACAGTGTCAAAAGCCTTGCTTAAGTCAGGGTAGACAACATCCACATCTCACTGGTGCTTCCCATTAAGATCATGTCCCAGAAAACCATCTGAACTTCCTTTTCTGCAACTATTCAACCTATTTTGCTTCCTTTACCTGTTTGCTGGCAGCAAGTGRAGAGCTGGGGGGCACCCCGGCACAGCTCTGCCGCCAGGAAGGCGGGAGTTGCTCGGGCCCCGCGTGATCGCGACTGCCAGGGAAGCTCCGCAGGCAAACTCGCCCCTAGCAGCTTTAGAGCGGTCARCCCCTGACCAATCTACCCTGCGTTCTCACTTGGTATCCTGCCCATTCTGGTATTCCTGTTCAGGGCAGAACTGTGGGTTCAATACTGTGAATCAACACATCAGCTCACTCTGTTTCCTAATTCTATTCTAATTGACTCTGATTTATCTCTTTAAAAACTCCTTCTTTGGTTAAAACCTAGTTTTTTTGACTTGAACTTTACCTTTTTCATAAAGCACCTTAACTGTCACATGTGGATAGTCTTAGACCCCCAAGAAATAAAAGGCAAATAAAAGATTCAATTCTTCCTCTTTTAAAGCTTGTGTTCGGACTCACTGAAGTATCAAGCTTCCTCACCAACAGGACAGAAACACAACAAGCAAGAAAAACAAAACTGCACCACCATAAGCATAGAAGAGCAGAACAAATGGGGTTTACCAGTTGAGTAAAATGAAACTACGGAGATTCAACTCCATCTACTGCAATCTACAGTAACTGCAGCTTGTATATGTGTGGGCTTCTGCTTAAAATCAGATTAAAAATCAGAACATATAACTACTTCCAGTGCTTCATTCCCAACATGCAGAGCACTGTCTTGCAACTGTGGTCACCTTTCAGTTCTGAGGCAGAGGTTTAAAAGGCCACACAGAAACCTACTACTCTCAAGCATATTCTGTATTTCAGTAGTGCTCAAAAYTCTCCATATTGCTGCTATCATGAACTAACTACTTAAAAGCCTATTAACATCTCTGAATTACAGAGACCAAATCTGTAACATGAAAGAGGTAACACCAAATGACTACCCAAAARTTCTTCATAATTCTAGGAATACCATATAAAATATTTATAAATACACATACCATATGGAAAATAAGATTATTGTTTCAGAATTCTTTTTCAGCATCCTAATTTCTGATTAGCCCTATATAATGCTGCCTTTTGAAGAACCTTGTACCACCAATATAACTGGGGCTGCAGCTTCTACACTCATCCCATAAAGAATTTTCTCTTTATAAGGAACAAAATAACCAGAAAAAAAGACATTTAGAAAGCTCAGTAACATCCTTTCCAGCAGCACCTATCAAGAAAGACTAAGCAACACAGCTCCACCTTGCAACACCAATCACAAAGAACACATCTCCAAGCCAATTAACGACTTCCATCCCATCCCCCCCCCTTTCAAATCAAGATAATAATTTTACCTCACTAAATATTGGTTCACGCCCAGTGCCAAAACTGTGCAGCAGCACTACAGGCAAGCAAACACTAGTTCTGTATATTAAAACTTTATTTTGGAGCCTTTTTTAATTTCAAACAGACTCTTGCACGGGCGGCTCATATCCATCGGCTCGCTCTACTTTAGCGCCTGCCTCATCCCCAGAGGGTTTTCCAGCGCCACCACCTTCACCGTGAAGTTCCATGAGTTTGCCCACTAAAAAGAGAAAAGGAAGGTGAACAGTGAGATACACATACCCTCAAGGCAGTTTTAAAGCAGTTACATGAACCCACAAGAACATTTAATGTACATGTTACAAAGTCAACTCCCYACAGCCTGTGCAAGGAGACTGCATTACTGACTGCGAAAACAGCCATGGAACAGAAAAAAAAAAGCTATTTAAGAAGCTTTGGGAATGTCAGAAAATGGGAAGATAAAATCATTACAAGTCATCTGGGACCGAAACATTTTGTCATCATTCATTCCCAAGCCAAAGCCTGATATCGTTTGGTAGCATCTGCCAATTTCTCAAAGCAATAAAGAGTGCTCCAAGCTGAATAACCACTGCTTGGCTCTCAAACCTGACAGACAGCGTTGGACTAGGAGGACAAGTCTGTTAGCTGCCATAGCTGTTTTAAAAGTCTTTACCCAAAAGCAGACATGTTTTAAGCCAACATTGTCCCTCTTAAAACTCTAGGTAGTAGCAGTGATAGACTTACATTCAAATTTAGGCTTCTTGAGCATCTTAACCTTGCGGACATAGACGTCATGCAGGGGGTAGATGGACTGACAGGCCTTCTCTATGTCTTTGCCAATGCTGTCTGGGATCCTGAGAGGTCAGAGAGCAAGAAGTCAGTATTAGAAAGCTCAAATCTCCCCTGTTTCTGACCATCAGCATCTGTTTAAAAGCATCCTTAAGAACACATAATATTAAGGAGTTTGCGTCAGTACCAGCTTCATGCTCTGGTCTTTTTTGCCCCACGCACGTTCAGATAGCAGGATAATTTCCTTTACAAAGTTATAAGGCATATAGTGTAAACATCCTCATTTTGATATCAGATCTGCGATCCAACTTTTGGAAGCAAACACTGCGCTTCCACAAACTCCATTCTATCAAAACAATGGAGAACATTCAGAACTCCAGCTGATCAAAATTACAAATTAAAATAATATCCAGGAGTTCGATTCTATGTTTATGCAAACACAGGTGCTGGCACACCAGCTTTTCCACACGGAAGAGATGCTATCTGGCACAGAAGATGCCAGGCAAGTGAAGCACTAGTACAGCCCATGCTCAATAAACAAACACCACACCATGAATTAAAGTCAAGACTTACAGCTTATTGACAACTTCTTTGAGGTCGTTGGTCTGCACCTCCCGGGTCATGATTTCCATCATCTTCTTGCGGATCTGGCGGACCTGCTGGTGCTGGGCGTACGAGGTCTTGCGGATCTGGTTGTTGCGCTTCTTGGTGAAGCCCACGCAGAAGAGGCGCAGCAGGTAGCCATCTGTRGTCTTCACGTCGATGTGGGCTTCAATCATCGTCTGAAGGAGAAACCCAAACATGCATCCTCAGTGTGAGAGAGGTTTCACACACGCATGCACACACATACGTGACATACATGAGTACCTGCTGGTACCACTTCTAATGTTACACCTTTTCTTAAGGGTACCAGCAAGAGCGCAGACCACCTTCTCTACCTACCTGCCATTTTTTGACCATGGAGCACATCTTGTCCCGGGTCAGGTCCATTCCGTGGAAATTGGTCAGACAGTTTTTTCCCTGAACGTCCTCAGTTACGAGTTTAAATTTACGGAAGGCAACTTCATCATTCTGCAGGTCAGCCAGACTCACTTCAAATACTCGACCCTTAAGTCCATCAGAAGCAATTTCTGTGTTATGAAACAACACAGAGTACCTTTTATTATACCCTTTTTTCATTGTACTTTTCATTATACCAATACAAATACAGTACAAATTCCTAATTGTTAAAAAAAAGAAAAAAGGTGGAAATGCTGCAAAGTATTTTACTTTGAGTAATAAAAAGACAACYATGAAAAGCAGTAGTCCTCAAAGAATAGTAAACATCTGAGCAGAGCCAAGTCACTTACTCTCTACCTCCAACAGGGAACCACTTTAGTATTAGCTGACTCRTATGTGTGCATGACACTAATTTGATTCATTTCATATGCAGAGTTTAAAACAGCGTGAATAGGCATACCTTAAACTACAACTGCAAAATCAAGTTTTTAGTCATACTAGAGAGCTATCCTTTAAAATATTTTGTTACACACCTCTCTAGATCGCTCCACATTAACAGAAAGCTCTGCTCCCTACCAACCTAAGCATTAGCTGTGCCCTGTAATTTTTTTTATATATATATAAAATATATATATGTATATATATAAAAACTTCTGCCCATTCGAAAGTTTGCACAGAAACTATGTTAGGTTTAAATGTGCTACCACTATGCTAGCAGTTCTATGTGCAACAAAGATCTCTTGCAAGAAGCTCCAAATCTCAGTCTCTACACTCCTAGGSCTGCCACAGTGCCCTGTACCAGCACCCACCTCTTCCTCTTTGATACTCGGAATGCTGCTCACCATTTTCCCACCCAAATAAATGCCCCTGGGTCCCGTCATGGGGGTCACACGTGCCGTGCGCACAGCCCCTCTACTCACTTGTTCCTTGGGTCCTGGTGACAAGCGTCTTTCCAATGTTTCGGATATTAAACATTGCTGGCGCTTTGACATCGTACCAGTCCTTTTTGGAGAAGGGATCAACCCTTAAATAAATAAAAAGACTTCAACTCACTCCTGGGGTTAAGCCTGGCTGTAGCAGGCACCTCCTCCCCGTGTGCTTTGCAAAACGGAAACGCACACGTCCAAGTGTTGCATTTCTAAGCTTGGGACGGGCAGTATTTGCGCAGCAGCTAAACAAGTTACATGCGACGTGCGCGCTATGCTGGCGCTCGGCAAAGCCACACACCGACGCGCACGCCCGCGGTTACCGCCGCGGTTCGCAGCGCGCTCCGGAAAGCGCCGTGGGGCTAACACGCCGGTTGGGGCCCCGCCGCCCATCACCATCAGCGCTGCAGCGGGGGCTGCCGTTTTGGGGTAAAAACCAGCGCATTTCGCACTAATGCCTCCCCTCCCCGCCCTCGCTCCCCGCCGCCGCCAACCGCCACCCGGGCCCGCCCGCCATGACAGCGGCGGCCTCCGTGGCGGTCCCGCCGCCATCCGCCCCGCATCGGCGCCATCGCGGCGCCCCGGCGCGCGTCCCCGCGCCCCCCGGCCCCGCCGCGGCGCCCCCGGCCCCACGTACACTTTCTTCTTGGCGCCCTTCTTGCCGCCCTTGGTGAGGCGCTTGTTCTTGCCCACCGCCATGGTGCCGCCGCGCCGACGGAAAGGGCGGGCGCCGCCGCTCGCGCGAGATTATACGAGAGCGACGCTCGCGCGAGAGCTGCGCCCGCCCGGGAGCGCCCCACCTCTCGCGAGAGCTGCGCCAGAGGCAGGGAGGAGGGGCAGAAAATGGCGGCGGCTGTGGCGGGGCGGCCGGGCACGTTCCGCGGAGGCCGTCAGCCGTTAAACAGGTGTTACCCCCTCCTCCCCTCTCTTTGCGCCCTTTCTGCAGAAGGAAACACGCCTTTAAGACTGATCTAACTCTGAAGTTGGTCCTTTCTGAGCAGCGTTCAGACCGGTGACCTTCCCAGTTTCTCATGTAATAGCGCTTTTTGTAAGATYGAAGCCTTAGCCACACAGGAAATGGGGTTTTCTCAACAGAAATTATTTGTCTCTGTAGCCAGGCTGTCAAAACAGAAGAGATGTTGTCTGGTGACATTTTTATTTAGTCACTGTCTTGTTGAGTGTGAGAATTGAATGGGGTTGCTTTCTAAACACAGATATCCAAGAGCAGTTTATAAATAAGCTTTTGTGGTTAAGACACTTCCCAGCTGGGGTGGTGCCCCTCTCAGCCATCTCAAATACAGTGCAATTGCAGACAAGATAGGTCTTCTCAAAGTTAGATRTTACTGGCAAGTGGTGGTCATTTAATAATCTGTGGCTTAAACATTTGTGAAGCGCTGATAATGGATTCTCACCAGCATAAGTATTAATTAAATATTGCATRTTAGCCACTACAATTAAAAAGACAGCAGCTTCTATAATTTTTCCCATGTTATGGCTTTTCTCTCTGCCTTCCCCTCTCAACATCTCTTACTTAAGTGCTCAACACAGGGCTGCTCTTGACTCTCACTGCCCCCCATCAGTCAATGTGTCCTGCAAAACTTCCTTCCTGAGGAAGGAAGGGAATGTAGGAGGGTCGAACATGCAAACGTAAATAACTGGAGGGAACCTCTCCAAGTTCAGAAAACGACAAAGCACTTATGTCTTCCAACAGTGTATCAGTCGCTCAAGGAGAGAGAGAGAAAAAATAAAATAAAATAAAATAAAATAAAATAAAATAAAATAAAATAAAATAAAATAAAATAAAATAAAATAAAATAAAATAGTACTATGTGCTGTTTTAACCGCTGGGTAGGACTTTTAAGAATCCAATCACTATTTTTTGTTTGTTTCCCCTCCGTGAGAGGGGCACTCTAGAGGCTTGGCTATCCTTTGTTGTCTTCTGTAATTGGGATCTTTTTAGATCTAATATTTATGAATATACTGTATATAAATAAAAAGTATTCTTGTATAATTTATGTGCTCATATTTCAGGAAGCAATTATCAACATTTTACTTAGCATCCAAATCAGAAAGACARTATTTTTACTATATGTAAAAAGTCAATGTTCCTTCCTATTTTAGTTRCAATAAAGCATACTAAAGGGTATTTATGTATACTATTCACAAAATTCATATACCTTAAGATCAACGTAGAGTGCAAGCTGTTCATTTTTAATCCCCACTCCTGAGAAAGCTGCATACAACTGTTTCATCACTTCTGGATTAGCAAATCTTATTGACAAGGTGAGTCTCCAGAAATAAGCAGCACAGCAAAAGAAAAAGGCATCAAAAAGTATTGCTGCATCTTATATCTCTGGAGAGACTGCTGGATTGCCTCCTTTCAGTGCCAGATTCACTTAGATTAACGTTATACACGAAAGCCTCTAATTTAGGAAATATATTTAGACTGTGCTATATAGCTCTTTACTTATACCTAAAACTGGCAGCAATTAAGGAAGAGATTAAGCAAACCTACGTTTCATCTGGTTAGTAACATTAGTCATCAATTCAGCTATAGGGCAAAATGAACTGGAGCAAAATGAATAGCTTTATCAAACTGTGCATTCCTGGTCATACATACATACATATATATATATTTTTTTTTCTCCTATATCACAGCTATAGCCTATTTAATGTTCTGTCTTTGCTTTGAATTTTCATTATTTAGTGTGCTATAATTATTTATACTAGAGTCTTAATCTAGATATAGACAACCTTATACATCATTTGATAGTGTTTTCTTAGTTCCTTTGAATCTTGGAGGTCACATTAGGACCTCTGGGTTTTATATTTCCTTGTATATATACAGCTTTCTTCCCTCCTGGTCACTAATTAAAAACCCTGGAAATACTTTGAATGTGGCCATTCATGATGGCATAATGCACAAATTACTGATTAACAACAAACAAACAAACACGCACAGAACAATGACAACATCAAGAGCAGAACTACTGCAAGCAGGAATCCTCTGCCAGTGTTAATAACAGTKGGGCCACACAATGCATTTTCAGCCCCTCTTGCACCACTGCTGCAACAACAGCCTTCTGCTGCAGCTTTCTCTCTGCAGAGAGGACTGGGGTTTTCTSTCTGTAATCTGCTGGTTTTTAAATTCTACTTTACTGTCTACTAATATTCAGAATTACCCATCTTAGAAGATAAATTTTGCTTTTATTTCTGTTGCGCTCTCCTTGTTTTTTTCTTTTTTTAACTTTCAACACTATTTTATAGAACAATCTGATCTTTTTTTCATGAAACTGTTTGTTTTGATTGCAGTTTATTTTCTGGAACCAGGAAATCACAGGGTTTTTTTATTAAAGATAAGCCTATTCTATCTTATGATTTTTCTTACTTTAAGTATCTGATTCTTCTGCAAAAGATTATTTTTGTAAGTGTTCTAGTGAAACAATTATTTTCTTTATCAGTTCTTTCCTACCAAATTTGTTAATGTTTCAACTCTCTCTCTCTCTTACTACCAATGGAGCTACAGTTAAATATGCAATCTAGTGTGATAACTTATTCCAGGTAATAACGCAGGCAATGCAAAAAACTAAGAGGAGGAGATTGGAGAACTGGAAATTAGGAGGATAGAAATTCACAGACCAAACATTCCACATGTATTTTCTTTGCATACTCAGCATATTTTAAACTAAAATTACTGAGACACCATGGAGCCTTGTTTTTTTTTTTTTTTTTTCTCTCTCAATTGCTTGGTGGTAGAATTACGTTTTAAATCATTCTGTAAAATCCTGACTTAGTTTACACTTTGTGATACGAGGTTTCTGCTATGCAGCATTTGGCAGAAAAATCTGACTTTTCTCATACATTTTATACCTTCCCCCTTCAAATAAAGAAAAGAGAATGTGACTTTAAAAGCTTTTGTCTAGAAGATGTGTGACTGACTCTACCTAGTGATCGGTTGTGCTGAGCAGATACATTAAAAATAGAAAAGATCACATGCCACCGTTAAAATTTTCTGTCATTCTTTTTTTTTCTTGAAATAATGTTTCAATGTACACAATTATTTAAAGAGTAATATGATTCATCTCAGAATTCATGGCTTGCAGCATAAGCTGACTATGTAACTAATTAATTTAATAAGCAGGGAGCAAGGCTATTCACTCACACATGGGTTTCAGCGGGGTGGTCTTCAGCCTAGCAGTGGTCTGGAGGGTCATCGCAACAGGCATGTAGGTGGTCCTGGGGCCACATCATTCCTTTTGTAGAGTTTGTATAAAGATGATGGAAGCCCCTCAAAATGTGAGGGTAGAAAATAGTGCATGAAATCTGGCAGTGATAATTTTAGTGGAAAATTTGCAAAAAGCAGAAGCCACATTACTGGAATAATACTATATCCAGGCACCCAAGGCCTTGTAAGACTGGGATTCAAGCCTCTGAACATATGTGGATACTTATGGATTACTTCCTAGAGCCTGATCCTAAATCCTTTATTTCATTTTTGCTCATTTCATTAAAATTTCCATCCTCAATAGTTACAATTTCAGGCAGTGAAATTATATGCAACTAAATAATAACGTTCTTATAACACTTTCATCTCTTTTAAGCTTGTATCTTTTTAAGAAAAGGATAAATACCATTGTCATGGTACTGGAAGCTACTGGGAGCATATTCAGAAAAATAAAGCTTATAACATGGTCATTAAAATCGATCTTGCTGCTCCTCCAGAAAAAAAGTAAACTTTACATTCGGAAAGAGCCCCTGGAAGTCATCTGGTTCTCCTCAGCGCAAGTCTAGTTTCAAAGTTAGATCAGATTACTCAAGGTCTTCTACAGTTAAGCTTTTTATAATCTTCAAGGCTGGTGATTCCACAGCATTTCTGGGCAGCATGTTCCACTGCTTAACCTCCCAACTCCATCCCCGCAGGTCCACTTCCAGGCCCACTGGGAAGCCCATCCCCTCTTGCAGACCTCCCCAACTCCCCCCACTGTCTTCTCRCATTTGAACTCAGAGTCTCCCACTCAGCCAACCTGGCCTCATGCCGCGTCTGCCCCATTTTCCTGCCGTTCAGGATGGTGTTTGGAGGAGGTGGTCTCATCGGCTCTCTTGGCCCCCTTGCCCTCCAAAGCCCACTCCATGTGGTTGGGTCTCGTGGCTGCCCGGACAAACTGAAGACCAGAGYTCTCAATCTGCTACTGAGAACTACTCTACAATCATGCCATTATTTAACTTAGCAACATTGTGTTGGCGTTCATGATAGGTTTCTCTGTGACTTTACACTCCCAGAATTTTGAGCTGCCAAATGATGTTATATCCAGATGCTTTCTGACAGTAGGGGTAGCGTAAGCTTACTCCTTATTTTTCAAAGWGCCAGATTTCTCCAGGAAAGGAAAAAGATGATGGGAGAAATCACCCATTCTCCATCTGTGACCATGCCACAGGTACTTACAACTGGAAAAAAAGGAGGGAGTGGACAAGTAAGATCCAGGAATAAATGTTCTATTCTGCTTTCGTGCTTGAGACGAGATTATAGGTGTGTATTTGATTTTGGATGAATATGTTTAAGCTGCCTTTGTATTTCCCATATTCTGAGATCAGCCAGGGGACATGCTGGGCCAGTTACTGATTTGTAACCATCCCCAACACGATCTTGGTGAGCTTTCTTCATCCTMTTTCAGTGAGAGTAGAGCAAGTCCTTTACCATCTTCCAAATGGAACCCAGGAAGTTGTTTTCTGCCTTTCCACCATGATTTGATGCGTTGCG